TCTTGAGTCTTAAGCTCTATAAAAATAGATGTCGGTTGAGTCTTAAGCTCTATAATAATAGATGTCAGTTGAGTCTTGAGTCTTAAGCTCTAGAAAAATAGATGTCGATTGAGTCTTAAGCTCTATAATAATAGATGTCAGTTGAGTCTTAAGCTCTATAATAATAGATGACAGTTGAGTCTTGAGTCTTAAGCTCTATAAAAATAGATGTCGGTTGAGTCTTAAGCTCTATAATAATAGATGACGGTTGAGGCTTGAGTCTTAAGCTCTAGAAAAATAGACGTCGGTTGAGTCTTGAGCTCTATAAAAATAGGCGTCGGTTGAGTCTTAAGCTCTATAATAATAGATGTCTATAAGCTCTATAATAATAGGTGTCGGTTGACTCTAAAAAACCACATTCAGTAACTAGACCATTAAAACACATTCTACACTAAGAGAAGCTTCTCTTCTAAAAAAAACCACCTAAAAAAAACCTAAAAAAAAAAAAAACTCAAAAAAAGACCTTCAAAAAAACACCTAAAAAAAGTTAAAAAAAAAAAAAAAACTAAAAAAACAAACAAAAAAACAAAAAAAAAACCCTAAAAAAACCGTAAAAAAATAAATAAAAACCTAAAAAAAACTCAAAAAAGACCTTCAAAAAAACACATAAAAGAACTAAAAAAAAAAACCTAAAAAAAAACCCCTAAAAAAAACCGTAAAAAAATAAATAAAAACCTAAAAAAACTCAAAAAAGACCTTCAAAAAAACACATAAAAGAACTAAAAAAAAAAAAAACCTAAAAAAAAAAAAACCTAAAAAAAAAACTTAAACAAAAAACCTAAAAAAAAACATTCAAAAACCACATTCAGGTATTAGACCATTAATACAGAAGCTTCTGTTCTCAAAAAAAACCTTTAAAGTAAAAATCTATAAAACCATATTCAGTTATTAGACCATTAAAACACACTCTACATTGAGAGAAGCATCAGTCTTCTCTTTTCAGCTTTTGTGAGAAATTTCTCTTCTCAGCTTTTTTTGAGCAACTTCTCTTCTCAGCTTTTTCTGAAAAACTTTTCTCAATAAAAAAACCTCAAAAAAACCTAAAGAAAAAACCCTTCATAGGAAAAAAACCTCAAACCTTACATTCAGTAACTAGACCATTAAAACACACCAAAAAAAAAAAAGACCATTACACACAAAAAAGACACTAGACTTTAAACACTACTTTATTATTTTCCTGTTTTTTTTTTTTTGTTTTTTTTTTTACTTTATTTTCACAAATATATCATTTCAGCACTCAGACATCTTCATGGCTCCATGATCAAAATTAATCAGTTTCATGCTAGAGAAAGTCAAAATTTCTTATTTCTTAAAATCGTATTTTTACAAAATACAAGCCAGTTGCTCCCCTCCAAGAGATATACAGCTTTGTCGAGTCACGTAGATCTGTTAGGAAAGATCAAGGTTAGGAAAGGGAACCAATTTGAAGGATTCTGCAATAAGGGATGACATTTTGCTTACCTTTCCATTAAGCATTGAACCAGGAGGTCCACAAATGTGACTACCAACTACACACATAATGGACACCGTTGCAGATTGACACCATTACATCTGCGAGAGAAAATCCAAACAGTAGAGAACATCAACTTTGTGGCTTAAAGTGAATGTCTTCTAAAGATCATAGAGTATATGGTTGAGATCAGCCAATAGCTCACCTGTTCTCTCCTCTCCTGTATCATTCACATTTACAAGAAATGTGTCTTGCATTTGCTCTTCAAAACAGTAACAGAGGCACAGCCCGTGGCATTCATCTGGTAGGAGAACAAAGATAGACAATTAAAAGACAAAAAAAGGTCATTGAAGTTGAAATGTCTGCATCTTACAACAAACTGCTTTTCATTTATGGTCAGAACACTCAAAATGGTGAAACATCTGGTCTTACCATTTGATCAAAAGGCACAAAGTTGGGTTTCATGGAGACAACTCTGAAAAGAACTGCAAAGACACAAACAAACTCACATACAATGGATAATGCATTTGAAAATGATGCTTCAACCAAGGATCATTCACAGCTCACCCGTTTGTCCTGGATTGGAAATAGGTAACGTCTGAACATGATTTCGCTCTCTTCAGTCGCTCTGAAGACCTTCAACCTTCAGCTTCTGCTGAAGCTCCCTACAAACACAAAGACACTAACTGCAGGAGCAGAGAGCAGAAAGTGAACACTCAAAACTAGGCTTTTTAAAGAGCCCAGCCACTGACGAGTAGGAGGAGCTCCATGATCCAATCAGCCGTTGAACCACCAATCAGCTGCTGGAATGGTTTTAGAAGCCATCTTACCCATAGATATCTATATAAAGGCTAGATATGTCATCCACGCTGCTGGCCAATGGAGGTTGACGTCTGCACCTGGCGGCCATCTTGTCACAGGCAGCTCGCTCACTCGTAACATTTTGTTAATGGTGCATGTACTATTTAAATGACCATAACTTGCTCAATTTTCTACCGGTTTGTTTTGTTATAAACGTCAGAGATGTAGTTATGACACTGCATACTTATGAATAAAAAGTGTATAAATTCCATTCCAAATAAATTATGAAACCTTATTTTTCTGAATGTTCCCTGAACAGCGTCCAGTTGTTTAAAACGTTTAATAGAACTTAAAATGATCACTTTACTTATCTTGTAAGTGTGTCTGTGCTTGAGGATCAACTGATGGAAATAACCCAAGAAATACCTCAGTTTCTTATAGCGTGTCTTTATGATGTTCAGCTTGTTCCTATGATGATGACTTGGTTCTCTAGATGACCATCTTGTCCCTTCTTTCTCTCCCAGCATGCAACACTGCAGAAGCTCTCATCAATGTAAGTTTAGTTCCTCCCACACTAAACCACAGACATTCAAATGAAGAGCTTGCAGATCGGGAACATGTTCAAATCAGCACCAACCCTTAATCACGTTGTGTTTTCACCTGTATTGTGAGTTTCACAATGAATGAGTTAATGTGTTATGCATGTAAAATGTGTTTTTGAGATTGTATGTGTGCATTGTTTTTTTATTTATTTTTTATTTTGACTGTTTTTTTGCTTCAAGAGAAGCAGTTATTGAAGGACATGGAATGCATGATTGTGAACATGTGACAGCACTACACACAACAACATTGTTTATTACCACCTCTTTATATAAATGATGTCACATGTGTGCTTCCTCATCAGTGTTGCTCCACACAGGCCTGCGCTTCTCCAGGAACGCCCTGGCGCCCTCCTGCCCGTCCCGCAGAGCCAGGTTCTCCACCATGGCAGCAGACGCACAAACGTACGAGATGGGGCGGCCCGTCAGCAACATCTCCATAACCACCTGGAGGAGACGGAGACAGGGGTCAAGACTCATACTTGCTTTCATTCATTACTCTAAATATTAGCAACTTGTGTTTAAAAAAAACACTTATCAGTTTACAGTCAAATTGTAAATTACAACAGTCTTTTTTTAAAATAATTGGTTAATAATATTATAATAATCATTATTTTCATTGTATGGTTTGATAATAGTATCAAATGTTATTTTTTATAATACAACCGTAATATTTCAGTCTTCTTGTTTATTAGTTTAAATAATAGTGATGTTATTATATGGTCTGATAATATTAGAATTATTATCTATCAAATATTCCTTTTTTAATTTACAGTACAATTTCAATTTACAACAGTTATAATTTTTTTGTCGTTTTTATAATTGGTTAAAATAATAATTATATTTGTAAATAATTACATTATTATATTGTTTATAAATTATATTGTAGATAACAGTATTTGATATTATAATTGTCAGATATAATTTTTTACTAATTCAAAACTAATATTTCAGTCTTGTTTATAATTGAGTTAATATTAAGTTTGGTCTATAATAATTATAAATATGGTTTCATTTTATAGTACAATTTTAACAGCATAATTTAATTTTTTTAACAGCAGTGTATTTCAGTCTTGTTTTTATAATTGGTGCTATAATAAAAAATATTGATTTTTACAATAAAATTGTACTTTACAATAGTAATATAAAAGTTAAAATAGAGTTGGTAAAACAGATTTAAAATAATGTTAAAAACAATAAATCATTATATGGTTATATGTGGCGTACATTTATGTACAATAATGTATAGGCCACTTTTACTGGTAACAACACATGTGGCATTATCAGGACACACTAATATGCATTATTATGCATTATATTCAACATTATATACAGTAGTTTAATGGAGTACTGACACTAAAACTCTGAAAACTTGATTTTTTTCCCTCACAGTAATTATTATAGTTCTAAAACTATGGAATGAAGTGAACAAGTTTTAAGTCCATTCAAGATATTTTTACCTGATGAAATATAATATACAGTGCTCAGCTTTAGTGGGAAAATGAATATTCTCCTCAATAACACACAAAAGCACACAATATTCAACCAAAATAAAGTTGTGTCAGATGATTGCTTGTGCTTACAATCAATTAAAGTCAATGCTTTTGGTTATTTTGGCAATTTTGCTTTGTGCATTATTATCGTTTGATGTATTTCATTTATTTTGGGCCTGTCGTTATACTGAACAACTGTGGACAATTGGTACATTTATTAATGATTATCAATTTTATTCATGATAATATCTACCAAATGTAACCATGTAACTCTTATTTTAGGACACTATGAATCTGCTTCACCAACGCTTTTTTAATTAATTTCAAAAGAATTTGGACACCATTTCATCTTCAGTAAACAAGAAAGCATGTAGAACGACTTACATTGGCAGTGCCTTTGATTTGTATAATTTAATTGACGTAAAAAAAAATATTCATTTATTATGAATACTATATTTTTCTGTCGTTAGCAATTAATTCATTTTTTCTCAATGGGTGTATTTTTGTTCAATTGTTTGAATACACAAAAAGTGAGTAAACGTGACAACTTTTTTTTAGCCTTAATAAGACAAATAATATCGAGCGATGCGGGTCAGAGGTCACGCTAGAAGTTCGCACCTGATTCCATCCTGCTGTTTTCTGACGGTCAGAGAGGAAGAATCGGCGCTCATCTTCCTCATCCAGATCCTCCAAAACTCCCCGCTGGGTTTGACGCTCTGTAAATTCCGCTTACAGTCATATTTAATCACTGCAGAGAAAGTAAATAAGCATGGGGTAGTGAAGACAGTGACAACACCGGAAGTGAATTCTTCTTCTTGTAAGATTTCGGCAGTGTAGACGCTGTTGAGCGTATTACTGCCCTCCACAGGTCAAAGTTTGTACTAAATTCTTACATACAACCAGAAGTGAATTTCAGCTGTTCTTCAAAATAAAGGTCTTGTTTTTTTTTTGGTTTTTTTTACATGGAACATTTGCCAACAAATATCGTGGATCAAAGTCCATATTTTGCTATATTCAACCCAAAATAACTTAAAATAACATTAAAATGTTCTCGCTGCATATTTTATTATGTTGTGACAGTGGGCCATTTATTATATATTTTTCTGTTATTAAAACGTCTGAATCAATGAGGCTTTAAAAATGTTTTGCCCTCATGTGGTTATTTGTGTGAATTACACCGATGCAAATCGAGTCTAAATAAACTTATGAATGTGTTGCCCTCCTGTGGTGATTTGTGTGAAGTACACCATTGCAAAACATAAAACTGTTGCCCCCTCCTGTGGCGATTTGTGTGAATTACACCGTTGCAAATCGAGTCTAAATAAACATAAAAGTGTTGCGCCCTCCTGTGGTGATTTTCGTGAATTACACCATTGGAAATTCTATCTGCATCAGAACCACAGACTGTAAAAAAAAAAAAAAAAATCTGATCTTAAATTTAATAATTTAACATATGTGGAAAGACAAAATAAATAAATGAATAAATTAATTAAAATTGAAATTAAATGAAAAATTCACAAAAGAAGTTGTCATTATTCATCATCATCGTCATTTCCCCATGCAGTATTTTCTGTATTTTCTGAGAGATTATAAATTATTATATAAAGTATTCAGTTTTGTCGACAAGAGCTCGTGCTCGTGCGCGATGCAAAGCGCGCGCTTTAATGACGTCACTGGAGTGAGACAGCAGTGCAGCTGTGTTTGTCCGCTGTTAGTTTAGTTTTCCTGAATTGTGTCGTTCGTCTGACATTTCCCTGAAGATATTCTTTAGACGTAGGTGAGATGCAAAACAGATCGCCTTTCTGCTTCTGTGGGTGGTGTCATGTTTTTCATGTTTTCTGATTCTGCTTTTGAGTCTTGCTGAATGTTCATTTCCTGTTCGATCAGCGATAGTATTTAATAACACTTAAGCATCTGAACTACATATACATAATTATATAATCTGCAGTGTTGTCTACTGACTGCACTGTACTGAGATATTATTATCATTATCATCTATAATGTTCTGTGTGTATGTTAATGATGGGTGTGTAAAAACATGAGACGTATGCTTCCTGGTATTGAGTCAAACACAGTGTCAAAGTGTGGAAGTGGAAGAGACAGGACGAATGTCATTGAACAAGACCTTTGATCCGAGCATTATGCCATAAGTAGATTAACTAAGATTAATTACAGCCTTGATTAATATGGAATTGCGTATTTGTTTTTTCAGTGTTTTATAATCTGGTAAAGCATTTTCTTAACATACATGCATGCATAAATAAAATACTCTTTAAATTTCTTTAATAACTCACTTTTTCAGCTGAAACAAAATGACGTTGCAGTGGACGGCGGTCGCTTCCTTCCTGTATGTGGAAATTGGTGTTCTTGTCATCTTCTGTCTACCTTTTGTCTCTCCACAAAGGTAAAATGTTGCAGAGCCATAACAACTAATCCACTAAATCAATCCATTTGAACGTTTGCTGTTTTTGTCCACTTACTGATGTCCATGTTTGCAGATGGCAGAGGATTTTCAAATGGAGCATCTGGAACCGTCTTTCCCAGTTCTGGAACAAGGGCTTTCTCACCATGATAGTAATCCTCATTGTTCTCTTTCTTGGTATGTCATGTTCTGATTTTAATGCCATGATGTCTTAAAGTGAGATTAGAAATGACCCAAGTTAACCCATCTGTGCGTAGACGCCCTGCGTGAGGTGAGGAAGTACTCGAACGCCGACCAGACCAAAGATGCCAAACTGCACCCCAACATGTTCGACCACATGCACATGAAGCTCTTCCGAGCCCAGAGGAACCTCTACATCTCTGGCTTCTCGCTCTTCCTGTGGCTGTACGTGATCTTACGCGTTTGACATCGCCCGCTGGCAGCTTGTCTTGTGATGTTGACCTTCTATTGGTGCTCTTCCTCACAGTGTCATGAGGAGAGTCATCACTCTGATTAACCAGTTGGCCGTGGCCCTCGGCACCAGTGTTGCTCTGCAGACTCAGGCTGAAAGCGCCAACAAAGCTGCCAAGAAATACATGGAGGACAATGAGTTGCTCAAACAGGTTAAAGGCCTTTACCTCATTTTGTGTTCTCGGTCTGATTAGGCTATATTATCACCAAATATTGGGTGCAATCTTTTTGTCAACAAAAGACATAATGCGTGAACATTATAGGAAGAGCTCTACACTTTGTCGGCTGAAGATCCAAGTTCGGTTTGAAGATGAAAACTTGCTAAGCACAATGTTCTCTCACCATTCCTGATTTCTAACACACACTCACAGCGTTCGGCTGGTTTTGTGTCTGTCGGAGCTCCCGGATCTCCGAATGTTTTCCGGTCGTGTTCACATGTAAATTGCGTGAGCTTATTTCATCCATTAGATTGAAAGATCTGAAAAAGCCCATACATAGACCCTCCGCTCGAAGAAATCAGGACAGAAGACGGATTAAAACAGCAGGTGTAAAAGGGAATGTGTCTCCCTAGTCTACTTGTGTGATCCAATAACGATCGCATAACGAGAGATTAATAAGCGTTTTTTGTCTGAGAACACCACAAGTGTAATAAACACCAATTTATTAACACTTTTTGTTTTTTTCAAAACACCAAAAAAAGCACAAATATTATTAAAGGTTTTTGGGGAGATTGTTATACCATGCAGTCAAATACATTCACATTAAAGGGAATGTTCACCCAAAAATGAAAATGATCCCATAATTTACTCATCCTAAAGCCATCCTAGGTGTATATGACTTTCTTCTTATATGACTGCCAAACACAATCGGAGTTATATTAAAAATATCCTGTCTCTCCCAAGCTTTATAATAGTAGTAAATGGTACGAAAAGCCCAAAAATTTGATCCATCCATCATAAAAGTAATCCATTTTTGGGAAAAAGAAAATTATCACAACGTAAGGGAGGGTTAAATGTTAATGCATGAATCTCACACAACCTGCACCACAATTCAGCTCAAAATCAGAGGACAGATATTAGACATTTTTTCAATGAAGATTTTAAAAGTAATACAAACATGTTCTTATTTTCTTATTGCAAAACAAAATGCCCTTTTTTAAACATAAACATAAACTGTAATGAAATAAAATAAACTTTTTCAGCTAGTTGCCAATGCTTCACTCCTTTTCATTTAGTTTAACCTCAGAAATTTCATTTACCAGTCCTTCCAGAAAAACGCGGAGTTTTTTTGTGATTGTTGCGGGCAAAAATCCTTGATTACGCGGCCCGTTTTCTTTAAAAATGCGATGGAATATGCGGGATATTTATGCAATTTTATGCGATGAAATTGCGGGAACTTGCAAAAATTGCGGGAACTTGCAAAAATTGCGGGAACTTGCAAAAACTGCGGTTTGATGAAAAAGAGAAAAAAAGTGATTCCCCCAACATCCTGTTCTCACTAGGCTACTACCTTAATGTAAAGAGTCATTTCTTATTACTTTCTATGATGTAGCAAGCATACTACATCATAGAAAGTGCTGGGAATATTTAATTTCTCATCTTGTTTTATTTTTATTAAATTTTCAAAATCACAGAGTTTGATATCAAGTTCTTGACATTTCTTTTACACATTTTCTGATAAGTATAACATCTGAAGTAGCCTAAAACATGAAACAATAATTTGGAAAAAAAAAAAAAAAGATAGAGGGCATCACAGACATATTAAATTCCTTTAGCAGAGATACAGATCTTTTGGGCTTTTCGATTTTTTTTTTTAAATTTTAAAGACTCAAAATACATTTTAAAGGCTGTTTTGAAATGAGCAAAGTTAGGTTTTGAGTTAGGCTACTCCACTTAGTTTGATGAATATGAAATTTTCCTAATAATAGAAAAAATCGATAACATACATTTTTCTTATAGGAAAGTCAAAATCATTTGTATGAAGATGACAAATTTAAGACAAGGTTGCAATTCATTTTAAAACCTAGAAATTGAGACATCTCATTCCAAAAGATTGAAAAATAGGGACATTCAAACAATAAGTGCACAATAGACTCTCTTTCACAATTACAAAATCAGCAATGTTTTATTTCAGACTGTAACGAGTGTAAATAAGGTGTGGCCCCTTTAAGAGCTGCGCGCTGAACTGTCTGCAGTGTGTGCGCCTCAAACACCCCATGTCGTGTGCGGGTAATTTCTGTTTGATGCTTATTCTTTTATCTTATTTTGTTTATTAAGTAACGATGTGATGGTAGAACGTGTGACAGACAGTTATACGAGTTCGATTTGTGAGATGTCAATCGCCTCCGTGAGTCTTTCTGGCCTCTGCAATAACTTCAGCTGTGAGCTATCCCGTCGCGTAATTGCGTCACTTCATAACGTTCCCATGGAAACCGGAGGAAATGGCTGCTCTTGTATGAAGCAAACGCAACATTTTTCAACTTTCTGCGAAGATATATGTGACTTTTTTTTGCAACGAAAATACGAGGATTATGAAATCATGCAAGCCCCGCATATTTTGCGTGGAAATCGGCATTTTATGCGGCGAAAGTGCGGCTTATTCGAAAAAATGCGGCCCCCGCATAAATATGCGGACTTTGGCTGATTTTGCATTGAATTCAGCGATCGCATAATCGCGTTTTTCTGGAGGGACTGATTTACTTCTAGAAGTACTAAAATAACCTTAAAAATGAAAAAAGTAATGTCAAAAACACAATAAAATTACTACAACTTTACTATTAAAATGAAAACAATCATTCAAAATATTGACACAAACTATAACAGAATCTTGATACCAAGATAAAAATGCAAAATAGGATTGGCAGATATTTTAAATCTGTATTGTTTTGCATGTTTTAAACAACAACTTAAGTTCTTATTTTCTTTTTGCAAAAGAAAATGCCCTTTTTTATTTAAAGTACAAGGTGCTTAAACAAGTACTTGAATTTGAGAGTCTTGGAAAACAGACACATTTACAAAGAGGTACTTGAAAAGTGCTTGACTTATTTAAATGCAATATATGACAATTTTCTTTTCTTTTTTTTTTTCTTTTTTTAAAACATGCCAAAATTATAATATAAAATATTGTTTAGATATTATATTTTAATAGTATTTGAGCAATAGCCATTTGTAAACTTTGTATTTAATATAATTCAATGCGTTGCAAGTTGTATTTTGGATACCTTATATCTGTAATTTGAGTTCTAAAAAATACTAAAGATAATGTTTGATAAGTGTGATTGTAGTCCTTGAAAACCAAAAAAAGTAGTGTTAAAGTCCTGTAATTTCTTTGTACACTATCTGTAAGACCCTGGACTTCTGCTTTTTGCAGTGTGTTTATTCATGCTCATGAGGAGGAATTAAATCAATGAGAAATCTTGAGTAACAGAAGGACAAACCGTTGTCTTCCTCAGGCACTGGGCGATCCTAAAGGAGAAGGAGGGAAGAAACAAGATACAGAAGAGAACAAACTCCTGAAGAAAGAGGTGCAGAGACTGACGGAGGAGCTTCAGAGCAGAACAGACGGTGAACATAGACACTCAACACTGATCCTAGATTACAATAACTACGTTTACATGGACGCCTTTTGGTTCAGTCGGAATGAAATCAATCACAGTTTACATGAACGATAATTAATCGTGTTAATGCACGTTTATGTCACAAGCCATTCTCTATTGGTTCGTTATTTGTTTTAAACAGCAGACTTAATATATATCCGTCTCTGGTCATAATTTGGAGATAACGAGCGTATGAACCGTTTTGCCGGTGCTTATATTTATCATGCAGTAAAACCCCCGTCCAAAAACTCTCATCGTTTGTGAATGAGAGTCTGAAACAAGGACTGGGTGGACTTCACAGTGAAATGGGACTTTTTAGAATAACGGGACACTCATTTAGATGACGCTTTATTCAACAGGAGGAACAGCTCGTATGCTGCATCAATGTCATTGCACATGCGCAGTTCCTTTCAGTTTCTGTTTTCAATCCGATCAAGCGTTTACATGTTCTCTCGATCGATTACTAAAGGAATAAACCATCCCTTTCAATCTGATCGGATCGATTAAGGTGTCAGGGTCCATGTAAACGCATCTACTTCAAAACAAATCAAATGAATCATCTGAAAAACATCAGCTCGATCAGTTACAGCTGTTTGCTTTTCTGTAGCTCTGAAAAAGTCCAAGTCGGATTTAGACGCCATGAAGAAACAAACTGAAGGACTAACCAAAGAATACGACCGTCTCCTTCAAGAGCACCAGGAGCTTCAGGTAAGACCAACCGGATGATATTATACAAGCAGACATTAACTAAAACCATAAATGTATGCATTTAGTTACTAACATTTTATTTTACTGTGTCCTTGATACATGTGTTAGATGTACCAATCTTGATACTAAGATAAAAATGCATAGTAGTATTGGCAGATATTTTAAATCTATATAGTTATTTTTGCTATGGAACTTGACATGACAAAATCCTTGTTAACAACTTACCTTATGTTTTGTATCTTTTCTAGAATCAGCTGGACAATGAAGACAAAAAGGATAACTAGGCAAAGGGACACAATGGAAACCTGTATGATAATCACTCACCTGGTAGCATGACATCACCTCCTGTCAGGTTACCTGCTCGCCACACATTTGTAGTAGCGGTTTGGCTTTGATACACATCTTCGTTTTGATGTTTTGATGCGGGGCAGTGCCGTTTTTTTGAAGATCGTCTCCAAAAAACTGTATAGTCTGTATAACTGTGTAGTCTGATGTTTGCATGTTGCATTGCTTTACCTCATGTTGCTTTCATTCGCCTCTGCTTGATTCTCTCCCTCGTTTCATTTCAAAGTGCATATCGATCCAGGCTGTCGTGCAACATCCAGAAACTTCCCACAAACAAACTTGCAAAGTTGAGTCATAGTATCTGTAATATCAGGAAAACTTCAAGCATATTTTCACAGCATATCACCAACAGAAACTAGTCCGTTGACACAATCCATCAGGTTGCACGTGGAACATACATTAGAGGCTGCAGTAGTCATTTAAATCAACTTTAATTAAGAATAATAAAACCGTGTACACATAAACAACAGAAAATAATAAGTAAACGCGTCACAGGGCAGAGCAAACAGTCTGGTAGTGAGCGGTTAGTGTGTTTGTTCTGGAGTCTGGAGACGAGAGGTAGGTCAGTTACACCTGAGTTCAGTCACTGTTAGTTGTTAAACAAATGCAGACACCACAGAAAAAAGATTTCCCAGTCCAATAGCGACATCCGTCATTTTGAGAAATTTGAGGTAGCTGTTTCTGTGCTATTGATACAATTAAATCTCACAAAACATGTCTAGGCCACATTTCACCACAAAATTAAACCATTTAAAAAAACAACATTTTAATTATGTCTCAATTAAGCACATTTTCCCTTCAGTTAAGTAAAAGATTATGTAATACTCACAAACAAATGCCCAGATGCATTACAGTAGAATTAATTTCTTCATGCGAATTATAACTTGCGATTTAGATTTTAGGAGTAAATCTGAACTGGACATGTTTTTTGTGGTTTACTCTGTTTTTGATGAAGTCTGATTGTTCACCTATTCTCCAACATTTAGACTTATGGGAAGATTAAAAGACCGAAAATTACCCAGCGCTGTGAGGCATTAAAAAAAATGCAAAATCTGTCGTTTAAATATTGTAATGTGATTTTTTTTACATTTATTTACTAAGAATAAGCAGTCACCCACCGTGTGGGTGTTCGAAAGCGCTGTTTATGATGCACATAAACTCTCGCCTGTTTGTCTGATGCGATCATGAGCGGCACTCGAGAGAGGGAGGAGACAGGGACATTAGGAGAATACCTTAAATTGCTATGCAACTCTTTGATTAGAAATGTTATTTCTAGATTGTATGGTTGGCCGGTTTGAAATGTCTTAAAAGGGGGATTGTTTATGCATTTACTGTAACTGTATCTTCCTGTCAAATGTGGTCAAATATAGCTTTTTTTTTTAAATAATAATGTAATATTTTTCGAATGGGTGCGAAATCACCTGCTTAAGTGCCTCAGTGAGTTTACATTTTGCTGTGATTGTATTTTCACGATTAAAATGAAGAACGGTACTGTTGTCATTGATGATTGTGCATCTTCCTTTTTAGTAAATCATTTTATTTTGAAAAGAATGTATCTAATATTTCACATGAATGCATTTTTTTTTTACTTTACACATTATCAGGATATTCACTTTTAAGTATACAAAAACACCAGCAAATAAAATGATGTACTGCCTAACGTAAAAGCCAGTAATAAATGCCACTCGTTTTATTTGCCTTACAAGTCACAAATAAAAATCCTTTCCTTGGTCGTGGACAAAGAAACATTTTCAACCAGACAACGATTTATACAAGTATATAAAAGAATAATTATTTGCAAATTTGAGGAACAAGTGATTGAACAACCTGAGAATAGACCATGTTGACCTTTTCTTTCTCGCGCTTTTTGTGGGTTTTTTTGGCACAGGAATGCACCCGTTCACACGTAACGACACACACACGCACAACATTTCTCACAGTGACATTGCACAACATCGATCATGAAGATGATTACTTACATACCCACGGTGTCACGCACCTGTTTGCAAGCCCACAGGTTCTGGACCGTTCCTCACGTGTTTGTTAAATGGGAGGAACTGCTGTCAGGTGACACGTAAAAGCACAATGGTGAGCGTTTCGTTAACGGCACGCTCCATTCCTGACAATACGTTACAAACAAATGAGATGCGATTTGACATCCACCAACATACTCAACCTATAGCCGGCATGGTAAAGCCTATCCATATTAAGCACACAGTGTTGTGGTCAACTGTTTCAGGCATCTATCTGTGTGTATGGCAGAAGAGAAGGTTACAAGCAGACGTGGTCATGTACCCACAAGGTATAATCTTGTTATTCCTCGTAGGGCCTGTGCACGATGATGGCTTGAATGAGGGGAAATCCAATGTTTCCTTTCCTCTAGTAGGCCGTCTGACGTTGCGATACTTCTAAAAGCATCTTTGCGTTAAATCCAAACAGGTTTGGTGGTAAAGACATTCTTCTTTCTGTTTTTTTTTTTTAACCCAAAACAGCATGTACATTCAAAAAATAGTTCTACTATATCAATATCAAAACAACAGATTTTTTTTCTTACTTCACATCATTCACATGGGTCCAATAGAAAGTGTAACTCGTATAAACGGGCCCTGTTGCTCCCTGCGCAGGCGAGTACGTCACAGACGCGTCTCCCGTTCTGGGTCGTAATCTGTGGTTCGCGCCGGGCATTGGTCCAAGTTACCGCTGGTGTTTTCTTCTTTCCTGAGAGCCTGCAGTTCTCCGGCCGCGGCCCCCGTGTCTCCGTTTGCGAGCGCGTTGCGCTCTTGCCTCTGGACGTGCCGTCGTAACACCACCAGCCCAAGCACACACAGGAAGAAGGAAGCTGTCCGTAAGCCCAGCGTCAGGCCCAGATATGCTATCCTGAGCGACGGACAGTCAAAACACAGGATAATCACATGACCACAATTACACACATGATCTCTAAAAAGTTTTTTGTTTTTAATGACCCTACAAGTTTGATCCATCAAAATATGAGTAAAAGATTTTTTAAATATTTTAAACAAAACACTAAACTTGGTTAAGGTACACTAAAAGATATACGGTTAAATTTGTGTTAAAAAAACAAACTGGCTGCTGTGATTGCCAGAGATTCCAGTTTTATAGGATGCCTGTATATAATAACCACATATTTCGTTAATATATCTGCACTGTAAAAATGTTTTTGTAATTTTAATAGGAAAATATTGTAATGCTAAAGTAAAAACATTAATTAACTAAGTTCATATACGGTGAAAAACTGTAAATGTTTTAACATCACATTACATGCAGTTTTACTGTAAAATACTGCCAATTTGATGGTTTCTGCAAATAAAAACTATGAATTTCCATATAATTCACGATAAGAAGTCCCTGCATTACACATCACATGATTACGGAAATGGAAAAAAATGATCCAATGTTCAAAGTTATACTTGTTATAAAGTTAAAAATAGGGCTGTCAAACGATTAATCGCATCTAAAATAAAAGTTTGTGTTTACATAATATATGTGGGTGCACTGTGTATAAATATTTTGTATTACAACATATATATACATACACACACACACACGCATGTATATTTAAGAAAAAAAAATTATTTATACATAAAATATTTGCATTTATATATAATATAAATTATACATGAAAATATTTCTTAAATATATTAAGTATATAAATTATATTAATTTTTAAAAATTATAAAATTTAAAAATTATATTAATTTTTTCTTATATTTAAGAAAAAAATATATTATTTATACATAAAATATTTACATTTATATATAATATAAATTATACATGAAAAATATTTCTTAAATATACACAAGCATGTGTGTGTATTTATATATATAAAATAATTATACACAGTGCACCCACATATATTATGTAAAAACAAACTTTTATTTTGGATGCGATTAATCGTTGACAGCCCTAAAAAATACATTTGGCATGAAGACAAGTGTTTATGGAAAGTATCATTTGTGCAACTGAATTGTAAACAAACATTTCAGTGTAATTATTATATCTGAAAAGCAACAGTTGAATATAATAGTTTGGGCTCTGTTTTCAATTTTAACCTAAAAAATTATAGTATAATATGCCGGATTAGAAGATTCCTTGTATAGCATTAGTTGGGAGAATTTTTTTTTCTTCCTAAATAAAATCAAACTATCGGTATCAGTAGATATCATTCTGAGTAATCGGTATCCTACCGACAGACATTTTGCATCAATCCAAAACAAGTTAGTAGTGTTTCTACTTGTACTTATTACAACCCTAAAGCAAACATAAGTGAATCCAGGTGATACCTGTAGGCAGTCGTGTTGTATATTCGACAGGCTCCTCTTCCGCCACATTTCTTGTGACCCCATTTCAGACAGGTGGTGTCTATGATGGCTCCGAAGTATATAGGAGCTGGAATTCCAGCTGGAGAAGGAAAAAAAAAACATTCAATACGATACACTATTTGCATCACTCTTGCTTCAAAACATATCATCATTGCCACTCTGACTACAAAATGATTCACCAGAAACGTCAATGTCAGCAGCACCAAACACCAAAGCGTCTCTCACCTAGAGTACGTGTTGTCAGAGTGTGAAAACCCAAAGCTAAAGACTTCAGCTGAGGTCTGATGCATCTGTTGATGAAACAAGAACGGCTATATTAGACATATCGCTCTCATAAGCAACAGCGTTTGCAAATTATTCAGCTTGCAAGGTGATGTGTTGCAATGAATATCACAAGTTATATTCATTTTATGCCTGCACAGAAGTGGCATATACAATTACGATAAATTAAAAATATTTTTTTTTCTTTAAAAAAACATTCAATATGAGTTGAATGATTAAGCCAGAAACATTTATGTAATTTAACATTTATGATAGTAGTGAATGTTTAACAAAAGAGCACATAATGATTTCTATTGACAACTGCAATATGTGCGTTACTTTATCCACAGTAAACGTTTGTTCATGCATGCTAACCATGCTAAGGAACATTTATTATGAATATAATAAATAAATACAATGTTGGTTGAATTAATTTCATACAAATTTTATGACGGTAACATTGCTAAAGAAAAGAGAACAGCAATATGCAGATTACTTTATCCAAAATAATTACGTCTTCCCTTAAAAGCAACAGACATTCAGGAATTTTTATTTCCCCAAACTGCCGCTAACCTAATTTAGCCCGAGGGAGGCCGAGCATTCCAGCGGCGTCAGCTGACTGAGCTTTGGGGAAAAGCTGACAGTCCTCAGTGCTAGAGCTTTTCCTTATAAGACAAGTCTGATTACTGAACTTCACAAGCGACCATAAACTTGTCTCGACCGATTTTGCATTCAATCGAGCGACAGTTTTGACTGGCCGACAGCCCTCGACTAAGACGTGGAATAATGAGGGGGAAATCACATTAGCACTGCCGGCACAAGCAGTCGGTTTTCATCTGTAATCTGCTTGAACTGAGGAAAACTAACACATGACTGGATGACCTTTCTCTTTTCAGCCAACGTTCACTTTCACGAGATATGTGCAAAGCCGCGACAGCTCTTGTTGTGTTCGCTTCGGATAAATGGAAAAATAATCGTCAGACCACGTCTCTCGTTGACATTGAGACGTGGTCTGGGATTTTCTCGTATCCGAGGCGTGGTTTGCGAATGCCCAGAGCCGTTTATTGGGTGCTACGAATGTTTATCAAATGCACCTGTATGTGGCTCATAGCCAATCGTTTCAATTATACCAGATGACGTACGCGAGCGAAAGAAATTAGACGATGGGTCAGATTTATTTGCGCTCTAAACTACTTAGAGCAATAATTAACGCTGCATCGAAAGTTAAAGGGTTAGTTCACCCAAAAATGAAAATTAAGTCATTAATTACTCACCCCCATGCTGTACCAACCCCGTAAGACCTTCGTTCGTCTTCGGAACACAAATGAAGATATTTTTTATTAAATTTGAGAGCTGTATAACTACCACATTGGCTCCTAAGGGACTGCCTCTTGACGGCCCAAAAAGTCAATGAAGAAAATGTTTAAATATCCCAAGTGACTA